CCCTCAGTCTGTTCCATGTTTCTGTCTCTGGATCTATTTTGTTCATCGGTTTATTTTGTTTAGATTCCACATACGAGTGAGATCATGGGATACTTGTCTTTCTCCTGTCAAGCAGCAGATTCTTAAGAGATTTGAGAGAATGTGCCTTAAAAACATGACCTTTGCCTCCATTTCAGAAATTTCTTTTCCTCTGATGATGTCAGCTTTTTGTTGTGGGTTCTTGGCATCTTGTGATGCACAGCATCCCCCCGGGTGCAGTGGAAGAGTCTCAGGATACCACTAGGCCTTCCCAACTTCTCGCCACCAAGGAGGTCATGTAGACGGGACATCACAAGTACAGATGCCCCCAGGAGCTGAGCAGGCCAGGTGAACACAGGAGGAGCAGGTGCAAACAAAGGGACATGAAGAGTAGAGTGAGATGAGGACAGAGGGAAACGAGAGCGTGTGTCCAAAAGGGCAGCCCCCACCCAGCTCCAGGGGCCCTGCACAAATGCTGGCCCAGTGCAGTCAGTTCATCCAGTTTTTCGAGAGAATCGAATAATCTGGTATTTGACACAAGACCCACCGATTTGTAAATGTGGAAAACTCATTCAAAATTAAACAAGTGTTGTAGACACTACAAAATGAAAAATGCCTTTGTGGGAGTGCAAATTTGGAACCGCTGACTTACTACGTCCATGGCCTGCCCTCCACTGGGCTTCAGTAGATCCCATAGACTCTAAATCCTTGAGGACGTCACAGAGATTTTATTTCTGTGGCATATGTCTGTCAATACTTGTTGTATTAGAAATTCAAACTGCAAATGTCATCTACAGTGGTGCCTCAGTTTTCGAACGTCTCTGTTGATGAACATTTTGGCTTATGGAAGCCGTAAACCCAGAAGTAAATGCTTCGGTTTTCGAACACGCCTCGGACGTGGAACACGCCCCACGGCTTCCACTGAGCGCAAGATCCTGAGGCCCAGCTGCGGGCTGTGGATCGCTTGGTTTTCAAACATTTCAGAGCTCGAACAGTCTTCAGGAAAAGATTACGTTCGAAAACCGAGGTACTGCTCTATTACCAATTCATTTAAACAACAGTGATAAACCCCATTACATATTAACAAAAGTGAAATATTTTTTGTCTTAAAAAAACCTGTATTTTTACACCTGAAGCCTATATGAGCCTATCAACCAATGTCGCCCCCAATAAATTTAATAATAAAAATAAATTTTTAAAAAAACCTATATTCTCAAAACCAAAAAATAGTGAAACAGAGAAGCTCTGTGTGTCTTGCTTCCTAAAAGACAGCTGGATTCTCTTATCTGCTTCTGCATTCAACCTGTTGTGAAATGATGTTTTCGGTTGAAGCACAATGAAGAAAATCCAGCCTCCCACGGTAACATAGTTGATAAGAGGAGTATTTTTAGCTTTCTCAGATAACTGTGTTTATTCTTTTTACCACGCCAAAACCCAACAAGTGGTAGTTTCTTAAAGCTTAGCTGTAATGTGAAATAGGCAGTCATATCAATAAATCTCTCCTTGCATTTTCAATTTTTTTTTTTAACCACTCATGACTTTGTAATATTATGCGTTGGTCATTTGGAAAATGTTGATTCACTCAGTCAGATATTCCAAATGCTCACACACTACATTTTACAATATTAAAAAAAAATCACAATCTTTCGCTGTCTAAAATCACTGCCAATCTCATCACACTGTCTTTAAGTATTCATAATCTGTCAAATCATGGTGGCAGATTCAGGTTTTCCAAAATTCTAATCTTTGCTAGAAAGCTCAAATGTTATCCTTGGCAACAAACGCTGTCAGTTGTTTTGCTTGAAGCCACGGGTTCGACTTCATTCATTTTCAAGAAAATATCTCCTGAATACACATGTCTGAGTAGCTTGCTTGTCTATCTTTTTTTTTTTTTTTTAGGTAAAAATGGAAGTCTGTGGGGAAAACACACACCAGCTAGCTCAGGTCACGACACAATGACACACATCTCAGGTTGGAATCAGCAGAAGCACTTTCTGGGGGCCTTACATGTTGTCACCCAGCCTATGAAAAAGACATGAGAGCCAAGATTTAATAACATTTATAATTCGTCTTCTTGATCAAGAACATTCTTAACTGAAACTGCATGTTCTTTCCTGCAAGGGTAAAGGCTGGTTGGTGCCACCTCCTTAAAGCAAGCCAAAGCTCCAGCAGTTTTCCCCACCATTGCTTTTGCACCATTAGTGCAAATGTCAACACAGTGAAACAGGCAAGTGACATCTTTGTGTCATGATGAAGATAGTTTTTACCTCATAGACTCCTTAAAAAGTTCAGAGACCTTTGGGAACCGCACTTAGACCTGCTTGCTCTAGGCCGCTTGACAAGGTGTATTGGCTCACTGTCTGCATAACAGATCACCGCAAGCTCGGTGGCTTAAAACAACACATATTTATCATGGCACAGTGTCTGTAGGTCACAAATCCGGGGAGACAGCTGGGTCCTTTCAGCCTCATAGGCTGAAATCGCGGTATCGGCAGGACAGCCCTCCTTATGGGATGCTCCCGGAAAGAACCCGCTTCCCAGCCCACTCGGGCTGTCGGTGGGAGCTGCAGAGCTGAGGCCCGGTTCCTTGCTGGCTGTCAGCTGGGAAAGGTGGGGGGCGGCCTTTACTCCTGGAGACTTTGCACAGCCTTTCACTAGAAACCCCAGTAGAACAGTGATGAAAATGTTTGGAAACATTAGAGATGGTGGTTCG